CCCAATTGCTGGGTTTGTCCCTATTTTACCCAGCACTGGGTTGTATTTAACCCAGCATTTTTTAGAGTGTATGAACACTGAACCGTATTAACAGTACTGTATGAACAAACCGATGTCAATCCCCTTTGTTCTCGCGCTAGACTTGACTATTACCTGGCTGTAACCATAGTGACATTGACTAAATTAGACGATGATGTCGATAACAGTAGAATTTATTTTGTAAGTTAACGTGACACGATTGCAGCCGTTATATTTTAGTTAACCGATAGCAGAACAACCTGAGTAGCAAGCGTATCATTTGAGAATATAAAACTGACGGGAGCAGATCAGACAGCTCACGCCTCCAGTCTGTGAGTTACCAAAACTACCGACACAAATTAAAACGAGCGGCATTGCGTGGCTATGTGATAGAAAACTAGCTGTCCGGCGGAGGGTGAACCAAGGCTGAAAGTAGCCTAATGGTACTGTAATCTATTAACAACACACATCACAAACCCGTCATTTTAGGTAAGTAGCTACCAGATATGGGTGTCATGTCATAAAGTATTTTTAAAGGGGTCCTATTATGCTTTTTCACTTTTTGAAATTTAGTCAGTGTGTAGTGTGTATGTTTGGGCATAAAAAGATCTTCAAACTTACAAATCTCAAAGTCCACTCCAAAGGGAGATATTTCGTTTTTTTAAAAATCCCTTTTCAAGAACTACAACGAACGGCTCGTTTGGACTACAGCCTTTGTTTTCCGGGTTTTGGGATATCACAAAGCGGCCCATTAGAATATCATTAAAATAATTTCCGCCTATGGAAATTCGAATGGTTGGGGGGTGGGGAGGTGCGAGGTCCTGGTTAGAACGCTTGGTTGAGTGCATCAGACAAGATGATGAGGAAGAAGAAGTGCTGCTGTAGCCTCAAGTTTTCGCAAGTTATTACACATGCACCTGAATAATTATGTATGTAAATATGTATGTTACAATTATGAAAACGTTTTTATAATAAATTGCTGACAGTACAATACTGGACAATGATGTAATCTGCAGAATTTACACTTCAATTATGAGACTACAGTGTTTACCATACATTGAGTGTTTTTATATCACTGTATTTCTGAAGAAAATCGACTGTCTTCAGAAAAATGGATGTCATTTTCATTTAATCTTGCATGTAATGTCTGATAAAGCAGTGTTTTTTTGAGCGGAGCGCTGCTTTGCGTACAGCCGTTACCGGGGAAACCTTGATATCTTCCACTCCAACAGCGCCTCCTGCTGGCAGAGAATGAGTTTGTATATATATGCCGCCTGGGAAACACTGGACTATGG